TGGGTTCAATTCCTCAGCACCACATAAGCAAAAAGAAAAAAGCTGGAAGTGGCGCTGTGGCTCAAGTGGTAGAGCGCTAGCCTTGAACTGAAGAGCTAAGCGACAGCGCCCAGGCCCAGAGTTCAGGCCCCACGACCGGACCCAAAAAAAAAAAAAAACACTACTAAAGGGTAGGGCTCTGAATTCAGTTAAAGACTGAATTCCTTATCTTAAATTTTTTTTTCACAAAAAATGAATGCACTAAAATAAGGGAGCTTCAAAATAGTTCTGTAAACAACTAATCAAAGATATTTAGCCTAGAAAACTAGCAAACAATAGAGAGTCTTTGAATATTTTAGGACTGACTGGAATAAAGGGATTAAAATTACTGTCACATCAAAGGATAAAATTAGAATTGTAGCCGGGCAGCAGTGGCTCACACCTGTAATCCTAGCTACTCAGGAGGCTGAGATCTGAGGATCACAGTTCAAAGCCAGCCCACGCAGGAAAGCCGTGAGACTCTTTTCGCCAATAAATGACTAGAAAACAGAAGTGGTGCTGTAGCTCAAGAGGTAGAGCGCTTGCCTTGAGCTGAAGACTGAGGGACAGTGCTCAGGCCCAGAGTTCAAGCCCCACAACCAAGCAAAAAAAAAAAAGGAAAAAGAAAAAGAAAAAAATAGAATTGTATGGTCAAATATTAAGAGAGAAGAACTGGATATTGGTGACTCAAGTCTGTAATCCTAGCTACTCAGGAGGCTGAAATCATTCGCCCTATCACTTAAGAATTTAAGCCCTCTTTGCCACATCCAATTGCCAGCATCACTACTCAAGTAAAGCCTCAGAGCCATTATGAGGTAAAATAAAGATCACTGCAACTCAAGATCTGTGGATCATGGCTCAAGGCCAGCCAGGACAGACAAATCCAAGAGACTCTTATCTCCAATTAATCAACAAAAAGCCAGAACTGGAGGTATTGCTCAAGTGGTAAAGTTCCAGTTATGACTGGAAAAAGCTAGGTGAAGAAAGAAAACCCAGAGATCAAGCCCCAGTCTCAGCAAATACATACACACATACACACACACACACACACACACACACACACACACACACACACACACTATGTACATCTATCTATCCACACATTTATAGCATATATATATATTTATATGTAATATACAATATATTGTATTATTATATGTTAAATTATGATCTATTATACTATATCTGTTATAAGTAATATATAGCGCATGTTATACATTATAAATATATTATAAATAAATAATAAGTATATATAATAGTGTGTATTCGTATATCTATACATATATGTATAATATAAAAAGGAAAGCAGATTCCGACTTAATCTGAGAAGGAAAAGCAGATTCCTACTTATTATAAGAAAAAAATTAACAAAACCAATAAAAACTGCAGTAGCTGAGGCTGGGAATGTGGCTTAGTAGTAGAGTGTTTGCCTTGCTTGCATGAGGCCCTGG